AAAGATGGTATTTTTTGATTCAACAAGTAATAGACAACCCAAAGGACCCTGAAGACTTTCCTAGTCCATATAGTTGCCAGATGTGCTTCAGAGAAACTGTATGTCCCTGTAGAAAATTAAAAATAATGTGTTGCGACTTTTGTAAATGTAAAAGTAGTGTTTTAGACCAATGCAAGAACCCTCATACATAAGTTAGTAAGTTTTCTGCTTAAACATCTTAGTTTTTTGCATTTGAAAAATTATACTTGTTGCGCGTTTTTTGCGAATACGTCTTATGCATTTAAATATACTTTTATTTTGAAACGAATTTTTATTATAGTGCTTAAAAACGTGCCATGGTTCCATATTTTTAAATAATATTTTCCTCAAAAGAACTATAGTCAAAAAATATGTATTCACAAAATTTGTTTGCGGTCAAAAAATGAGTATAATAACCTTTAAAACTAAAATCCCGACCGTTTGTTAGGAAGATATTAAAATATATAAGAAATTAGTAACATGTCGGCCATTTTTAAATATGGCGCCTAACCGACCACGATCTGAAGCGTGTGACCAGTTAGTTTTTAAGCTCTTATACTCTTATACATATTTAATAAAACGCCGCACAAAAACTTAGGGGACATATAACTGCACACGAGACATGGGCTAGAGCGCCCGCACTACAGGGTGTTTCAAACTTTCACTAAAATATCAAAATTTTGTTTTCCCTCGTATAATTGACAGATGGAAACTTTCATTTTTAATTTAGAAAGATATATTAAAAATGCAATAATTTAGCTACAGATTGCTTAAAAATCATCAAAATCGGCCTAGAACACTAGAACAAAATATATTAAACTTTAAAATACCTCAAAATTTTAAGGTGCCCGTTTTTCTTGCCGGTGAGTGTACATCGAAACGAAAATGAGTTACATATATAACGATGAGGAAAAAGCTTTATTAAAAAAGACAAAACAAAGTAACATTCATATTAAGTAAATAAAAAAAAAAATTCTTGTTGCAAAAAAATATATATAGCAAACAAAGAAATGTAACTTTTATATATTGACGTTCTGCTTAATGTAAATATATGATCTTTTAAAGACTAAAGTGTAGAAAGTCGAATCATTTTAGATTTTAAATTTTTCGAGATATTCGGGATCCCGGGATTTAATAACGGGATTTCGGGGATAAACATACACGCGGGATCCCGGTTTGGAAACCCTAAACGGTACTAACGAACCGCAATTTAAGTGAGCCATATTTTTGAGCCTAAGCTTTTGGAGTAATTTCTATTTCGCCAGGGAGGTGCATGTTTACCCCCCTTCCCCGGCGCCTCTGAAAAACTGTAAACGTTTTCCATTCCTTAAATTCGCTTGCATGTCGGCTCTCTAGTAAACATGTTTACTGCATCCAGGAGGATATTATATACCTGACGCATCGGCCTTCCCTCTGCTAAATTCAATATAAATACTATTTTATTATTGTGCTCTAATTTGTTTTTGCGGGGTCTTGTTTCGCTACACTGCATCGGTGGGCGTTGTAGGATATTCGGTTTTGTTTGTAACTTTGTAGCCATCCGGAACGTAAACAAGGATTTAGGAGTTATGTCACAGCTTATTTATTAGACAGCCTGTCGACTCACTATTATAGGCTTGGTGTGTTCTCCGCCGGTGCTGCCACCGTCGGGCGTAAACAATCGGTATATATGTTACAATAAAAGTTGGAAATCAGTGATTGTTAACAATTGTAAAAGCTCACATTCACTGATTTGCTAAGGCTACGCCAGTAAAAGTTCAACAGCAATTTTTGAAACCAACTTTTACTAGTGAATGCTAGCATTTCCTGGACGACAGTAATGAGTTTGGAAGATTCAGCTAGCGATGTTGCCACATGTTGTAAAATATAAGGATAAATAAGGATAAGTTGAATAATATAGGCAATATAAGGATAACATTAAATCAGGTTAAACGTTGGCAACGTTGACAGACATCTGGTGTAAATTAATTTTTTTTGTGGTTATGTGTAATTGTTTTGTTATCGTTGTAAAAAGTGCTGTGCGGTATTTTTCCTATATATAAAACAGTTTCTGTTGGACTTTTGGCACAAAAACTTTTCAAATTTATGATTTCAGTCTAATAACTACCGTATGATCGAATAAAAACGGCGTCAGCGATGGCTATGGAATGAAGATCGCTGTCATTTTATATGTAAAATTATATGGGAAATGTCATCGATCGTCATTTCCAAGCCAACTGGACGCCATTTTTTTTCGATCATACGGTATTTAGTCAGCATGTTTAATTTATGTCAATGATGACAGGTATTGATAATTTCGATTCCAAATATCTCGAAAACCATTACTCGTAGCGATTTTTACCAAGAGACCTTCTTCACGTAAAAAACGTCGTAAATGTATATTTTTTTACTCAGTAGTTTTATACAGGTGCGGACAAAAAGTTATTACTCTTCAAACCAGTTAAAAAATATGTAGGTGGCGCCCTCTACTAGTAGGAGTCATATTGATATCAAAATCAAATTTCTCATGTCAAAAAACTCCCAGACACCAATTTTCATCCAAATATTGACATTACTTCAGAAATTATTGGGAAAAAATTAAAATAAAAATGAAACTTCTACACCCTGTATCTCCGAAACTAAGCATTTTAGGACATACATTTATACGAACTTTTTTACTTATTTTTATCTGCAGAATATGCTGCCGAAGTTTCCGGAATACAGTTCGGACCACCCTGTATATCAACATAAAACGAGATGTAATTAACGAAATATCATCGTAACAACAACTATTTTAGAAACGTCTACGTTTACTTCTCTCACTGAGATTTATGAAAAAAGTCCTTTGCTTCGGGTACAGATACCTCCACGTTTTGGAAATAGCTCAAAACGAAACAAAAGCTTTGTTCCAACGCAGAAATTAGGAACGTTCTAGAACGATTATTGGTATCGCCGGGATGGAATTTGTGCGCATGTGTCGACTAGAATAGTTCTGTTACGATACCAAAATTAAATGCATTTGGAACGGTTTGGGAATCGATTTAGAATACCGTATGATAAAAAAAAAACGGCGTTAGCGATGGCTATGAAATGAAGATCACTGTCATTTTTTATATGTAAAATTCTATGGAGAATGGCATTGATCATAATTTCCAAGCCAACTGGACGCCGTTTTTTCTCGATCGTACGGTATTTACGTGCTTGAACTATACACTATAAGACAATTAATAAATTGGGAAGGAGATTTATTTATATTTGTACTTTTGAATCATTCGTTCAAATTATTTTCGCTGGTATCCAACATAGACTCGATATCACTGTCCCCTTCGTCACTCATCATACTTCAAAAATAGAGAAATATTTAAAATAAATGCACAATAAACATCAAATAAAACTTAAGTTTCAAAACGTCGTCAAAATGAATGACAGATGAATAAACTGTCAAAATTAAAAAGAGAAATGGCTAAAGGAATTTAAAGTCCAGAAAAAATCAATAATCTGCTGACACAATCTTAACGCGCAGGTCAGTCCCTATGATTCTTCCTTTCAGGCTGGTATCGAAATTACGGTTCCGGAATCGATTTACTAACGGTGACAACTCTTGTTGGAACGCAAAAGTTATCAGCTTTGTTCGGGTTCTTATTATTACCGATTCTGAACTGTCCTAGAACTCTGCCGCGAATGCGCTAATGAAATAATTTCTCCATATTTCATTCTGCGCATGCGTATCACAGTTCTAGGACGGTTCAGAATCAGTAATAGAAAAACCCGAAGTAAGTTATCGTTCACTAAACGATTCTCTCGTGGTTGGAACGCTTTTTCTCCACTGCGCAGAAGCGTTACCGTACCGAGTACGGCTCTCTCCGTCGTTGGAACGACTAAAATCAATGACTAAAGAATCCAAGGACAAATAACACCCGAGAGCAAATTGTGACGCTGTCACCAAACAGTGCCGTGGCACATATTTTTCTTAACCTAGCTGTTTGAAGCAATATTTATATTTTTTGATAATTGTTTTGACTACGCCTATGGTGTATCATCCTAATTAATTACAAAAAAAACGTATTAAAATGTTAACAAAAGGTACAAAACTAGTATCGACGTATAGCACATATCAAGTACATATAGATGTTAATTGAAATTTAAGAATAATTATCGAATTCAATAAGAAAACGCTAAAAAGTTGGAGTGGACTGTTTATTTACCTATGAAACGTAACTCCTAGCTCTTTCTTATCGCTGCTGCTTTTACATTTGAAAGCTGAACAACTAATCACCATTGTAATAAAGTTTATACAAAGTTTACTACACACAAACTATTAAAAATCGCTAAAATTGTCGCTGGTGACCAAATGATGACTCATTGTTTGCCACCAAAACAAAAAAAATAGGTCACAAATTCTGCTGCAGCCCGTTAGGGGCGTTACATGTTCTTATATTCTTTAGTCATTGACTAAAATTGAACGAGGCAATTGCTGTCCTCCATTCGCGAACTTCGAGCTCCGGGCTTTACGCCCTGGGGCTACTCGAGAACGGTTCTGAAAGGAGCTGTGCGCGATGGCCTAGTGCCTCCATATGGCGCGGAACAGTTCTGGAACTTTATAACTCAATTGAATGGAGTGTGAGTATCGCGTTCTTGAACAGTTCAGAGCTGCACAACTGCGTGAATGGAGGACAGTAAATAGGAAACGCCAAAAAAATCTCTCCACGCCCTTCCCACGAATAGTTTTCAGGCGCTTTTAAGAATCGAAAGTAGGTCGAGGCAAACCGAAGTGGGTCAAGATAACTGGAAATAAACCGAAATGTAACAAAGTTGGGCGACGAAATGCGACCTTGGCCTGCTTCGAAGAATTCTCCGCATAGTGTAGAGGCAGTTTTTTACTTAATTTTTACTATCTAAAACAGCGTTACATCACACAAACCTCGTACCTAAGTATTTTATAATTTCAGTAAAAAAATGGATTGAAATACACCAATCCGATAAAATTTCTATTTTTTTTTCAGGGTTCTAGTGGAACAGTGGATCAGAGCGAAATACCAGCGCGAAGAATTCTGTTATCCAGAACGACAGTCCTACACCAGCGGGTACTACTCCGGTTTCCTCATGAAAAGAGGCAAGGAAGACAGCAAGTATCGTTCTAGGAAGTTCGTACTGTCCGAGGCCGACGATACGCTCAAGTATTTCGTCATAGAACACAAGGATCCCAAGGCGGTACTGCGGATATCTGAACTGAACGTTGTGTTCGCTCCGGAGAAGATTGGTTATCCGAATTCCTTGCAAATTACTTTTCTGAAGGACGGTACGACCAGACATATATACGTGTACCATGACGAGGGCGAGATTGTCATCAATTGGTATATGGCGATTAGGTGTGCTAAATTGCATAGGCTACAGGTTTGTATTTACACAGATTAGGTATACTATACCGGGTGTTTCATCGTCGAGCGGGACATAGGAAATCCCATGTAAATTTTAATGGGGTCAATTATTGGCTTCCCTAATTATTTTAGAGAATAATTCTATTTAGGTTTATTGAAGAGGACTAAAACCCACATTCAAAAGAATAACTTTAGATATTTTTGATTAGCCTGTTTACGAGTTATCGCCGATTTCTTTTTAAATATTTCTCCTTTCTTATGGCCCTGTATTTACTTATGAGCACCAGTCAAGGTAAAAGATAACTGTCAAATGAAGTTGTCATTTCAGAAATTTATCTATTTAGTGCTTTACAAAGAATATACCTAGCTAGAAAAAGAATGGACTCTGCCATACTGAAAAATGGTCCTACAGAAGTGGCGCCATCTATTGAGTAGGGCTTGTTTTAAATGGATCGAAGCGCGGGCTTTTTAAATGAGCGTATTTATTGAATTTTACTCTAAAATATAATTAAATTTGATTATTAAATCTTATTTTTTACACAAATTCAACAATACTAATGACAAGTATCGTTGTGATGTGTAAAAAATAAGATTTAACAGTATAATTTATACAATTATTTGATGTTTAATTGATTTTATAATTTATACAATTATTAAATAAAATTAAAGCCAAACGTGAAATATTATTTATTATTTAAAGTTTTTATTTAAAAGCCAAATATTTAAACATCGTTTATTATAATAAAACAAGACCAACGTAGTGCGCCCAAAGTTTTGTAAATGGAGTAAATATAAATAGGTACTTAAATGATGGCAAAAATAAAAGACTTACATTATATTTTTAGGGCCACAAACAAAAGGAATTGTCTAATTAAAACACATATAACAAATTATAGTTTGAAAAACATTTTGATAATATTATGATTGGCGCTATGACAACGACAATCTTTTTTGAGAATTTGACAATAATATGACAATGGCCGTTGGAAACTATGGAAACTACAAAAAAATTCTGATTTAACGCCATCTGGCAATAACTAGTAGCAACTTCTTAACCTAAAAATTATTTGCACTACCACCTAGTGGCTAGGGCTGGAACTATTTTATTTGAGATTTCCGTGGAAACGGCGGAACCGCTTTTGCTATTTCATTTTCCCGCCCCTGGTGCTTTATTATTATTATTAAAAACTCATACCTACATCGAAAATATTAGCCATGAATCACACTACCGAAGAAAAAGTATTGATGATTAAATGATATTATCAAGGAAATAGTTATCAAAAGGTGTCGGTCATGTTTGCTGCTCTGTATCCGAATATAGACCGATACCTGGAAAATCTACAATCGCAAGGAATATCCAGAGATTTGAGACCAAAGGTACCCTAATAAAGGCTTCGGTGAAGTATCCTGACACACGATTTTTCTTAGAAAATGAAGTTTATGTTACCTTAAAAGTAACTTCTTGGATTCTTTGACTAAAATCTGATGCGGAAAAACACGTTTCACAAAAAAAATATTTTTAAAAATGTTGTTATTTGATTTTTATAGTAAATTCTAGGGCAAATTCCATAACCGATAATGAAAGAGTCGCGGACTTGTTTATATCCGTTTTTATGTTTACGCTGACAGTAGTGAAGGTCGAATTTTGACAAATATTACGAATTGATACATGGTTGTCTGATCAGCTAGTAAAATGAAGAAAAAAATGTCGTCATAGGTTTTAAATTTTTTTTAATATGAATTAGATTACTTTAGTTTATCAAATTGGCTAAATTACCGCGCCGGCGAGACAATTGCTATAGTTATAGCTCTAGCAATGAAAACACGCTGTAAGCTGGAAGCCACCAAAGCAAAGAAAACACGCTGTAAGCGTGTTTTCATTTCTTTGGTTTGTGTTTGGCTCGGGTTGAGTTGATTTGGTATTGGTTGGTTTGGTTTGGTTTGGTTTTGTATTGGTTGGTTTTGTATTGGTTGGTTTTGTATTTGTTAGTTTTGTATTGGTTGGTTTTGTATGGGTTGGTTAGGGTTTGGTCGGGTTGGTTTGGGTTGATTTGGCTGTTTTTTTTTTTTTTCTTTTTATCTGTTTGATTTATATTTTGGTTTAAGCAAGAGCGAAACAAAAGCGACCAAAACACGCGTAATGTTTTGGTTGCTTTTGTTTCACTCTTCTGTTGTTTTTTTTTAGTTTTCCCATTCACACATTACCAACGCATTTTTATTATTAAAAATGGCTATTTTTTCAAAATTAAAATAAAAAACAGAAAAAGAAAATTCAGTGGAACTGGCAACATTGCTTTTCCTTTTGTCGATGTCATGTTAAATCAAGTGTTAAAATTCTCAATAACGTCAAATATGTGTGAATGTGTCAAAACTACGAAAATTAAATTAAAATCACATTAAAATATTTTAAAATTCTGTGCATAATCTCCATTTATTTTTATTTAAAACTACTACTAAGAATGGTTACTTTTTGATAAAAAAAAAAGAAAAATGCAAAAATCGTGTGTCAGGATAGTTCACCGGACCCCCTAATAAATAACTGCAAATGTGAAGCAAGGCAGGCACAAAGAGAAGATGCTAGAAATGATACCGACTTGGAAGTTTTATTGTGCGTGGAAGAGGACGATGGAAAGATCAGTACAAGGAAACTTGAGGATGAAATAGGAATAGATCACACTACAGCGTTTCGAATTTTGAAACGACATAAATACTATTCCTTCAAATATGAAAAGCACCAAGAACTACGAGATGGGAACGAAATACGGCGGCAGGCGTTTTGTTTTGATATGATGGAAAAAGCAAACACGGATATTTTTAAAAAGGATATGTTTCACTGACGAATGCACGTTTACCTTAAATAATGAACCCAGTGTTTAAAATTATCGATATTGGAACAAAGAAAACCAACACAGGTTTGTCGAAACAAGGACGCAATATCCACAGAAAGTAAATGTTTTGGCAGGGATATACTCTGTTTTTTTTTCTCAGATAAGATTTCGACAGACGATGATAGAAAAAAAGCAGATGACGTCCCATACCAATCTATTTATTTAACTAAAAAAAGTTTCTAATAATTTTTAAGTTAACTATGGATAGGTTTAAATATAAATCCGTCATGCGTCGTCTCTTGTTGTTTTTAACCAGTTTTATTGGTTTATTTAAAAAATGACAGATCGTATTTCAATTTTATTGGTTTGACCTGGTTTGACGGAACGATGAACGACAAACGGACGCCGATGCGTATGAACTCGCCTTTAGATTTTTGACGCTTGTCAAAGTCTTGCCAAATTATAGGTTATAATTTTGTGTCAACTTTTGTCAAATACCCTGCGTTTTGAATGATGATGCATTTTGATTCGTGTTATTACGTGTGTTTTGTGTCGTTTGAAGTCAAGTGGAGGAAAAATCGAGTGAAAATTAACTGTAGACCCAGCGCACAGTTTATAGTTAATACTCGGTGTCCAGGCAGAAAGACTTATACACCAATAAAGTTACCATCAATAAAGTTCGTATACCATCTCGTCGTAGATAAGTGCATCTCGTGCAGAGTTTGCCTGTCTCGATCAGTATAGTAGAAGGACCATACTAAACACATACTAAAAACTGGAGTAGCTGTAAAATATCGACATCACACCAGAGGTAAATAATGGATTTTAGTACTGCAGAAAAATAATGTCAAAAGGTACTGGTTTAAAAAAATTAAGATTAAAGTTAAGTAATCGACCTTTAAGGTATAAAATTTGGTAAGTGTTATTATTAATAAAATAGTTTGTTTTACTTATGTTGTTTTATTTATTCCTGTGGAATATTACAGTTAGTTATATTGATAAATATAATCATAAATGCGGGTTTGCAAGTTTCTTAAAGCTTGAAAGTAAGAAATAGTTCTTTTTTATATTTTTTGGGTATGTGGTGTTTTGTTCCTTTTTGTTTTGTATTAACATATGCCGTTTTTTGTTAAATAAAATAACTCAATTACATTTTTTCAGTTATACAGTTTTTTCACAATATTTTGAAGTAATCACTTGTCAGTCAAATTTTAAATATATATTAATGTCCTGCTATGCGTTCCAGTTGTACCCACTTATTTCTTTGTAAAATAAAATAAACTACTTTGAAATTAAAATGACAGACACATCTATCACTGTCAGGGATCTTGTCGTTGGACAGACTATATTCGGACACAATATTATTGGGCCATTATTTCTTACGCGAAATTTAAATGCAGAATATTATTTGGAACTACTCGACAATCATATTTTACCTGCTTTACATGACGCCGCTAGGGAAAATCAGGAAGTTTGATACCAAATGGATGGCTGCCCGGCACATAGTACCCTGGCTGTTCGGGAATATTTAGACAATAGTTTTAACGGAAACGTTATTGGCCTAAATCATACAGTAAATTGGCCAGCAAGGTCTCCTGATATTTTGCCAAATGGTTTCTTTCTCTGGGGCCATTTAAAAAACAGGATATACAAGGATAAAAAATACCCAAATCTAGACTTATATATACTGGCGTACTTGGCAAGTACTGGCAATACTGGCGTACTTGGCAAGTATCCCCACCATCCTCACTTTGTAAACAACATTGGCAATTGTGGCGCTTACATGACGTGTCCATTTCAACAAGTACGCCAGCACAAACAATGTTTAAATCCTTGGCAAGTTAACAGTATAGTCGCATCCATGGATACCGGTAGTCCCGAAATTGTCGTTGCTAATGGTTCTTTTTACTTTTTAAGTTCTTTTACTGTACACTGCAATACGATTTCTATGTTCTTTATGTTTGACCATCCATATGAAGGGCTTATTTTCGTATAAATCCATAAATTCTAAAACAACATCATTTGAAAAGTACACGGGAAAAACCAGCTTTGTCCATTTTAATTGGAGCTAAAGAAAACGCAATTTCGTGTATTTAAAGAAATATGTTATTTTCGGTTTAATAATTAGAAAAATATATATTACTACCAATTCTGAATTATTAATATTGTTAATTATCGCCATATTCTGAAATACCGAAATAAAAATGTCAAAATGCAAAACAAAACAGGGGAAAAACCAGGGATGTCCAATTAAAGACTAATCAAAACTATTATTTTTTTGTTGTAGGAAGAAAATTAATATTTAAATGGGGTTTTATTAGAATACATAAATTTACTACATGTAAATTATCAATAATCAAATTATCATATAACTGTAATAATTTTTTTTTGTTATGCTGAAATTAACTTTTTTAGGTAGCTTATCCATCGGCTAGCGAGTTTGACTTAGTGAACTATCTGACAGAGGACTTTGCTAAGGAAGGTTGGCTTTGGAAAACCGGTCCTAGGACTAGCGACGGGTTCAAGAAACGGTGGTTCACGTTGGACAACCGGAAGCTGATGTACCACGACGATCCCATGGACGCCAATCCCAAAGGAGAAATATTCATTGGTAAGATTATACCATTATATGAGGCGTCAAGTTGCAAAACTGTTTTAGCAAATGTTTGAAGCGATATTTCACAAAAAACGTGTCCATTGAGTGGAATCATTGCTTTGTATCTTGTTTTTCTAGAAATAAAAGCTAATGTTTAAAAAAAACACAAAAATAATTCGGATAAGTAGGGATCGGCAAGACAAGAAATCTTGTCTTGACAAGCAATTTCTTGTCTTGTCTTGAAATATTTTCAAGAATTAAAAAAACATCTTGTCTTGCCATTTCTTGAGAGTTGATTTCTTGTCTTGATTCAAGAAATCATGAAATTTCTTGACATCTTGACAAAAGGGGAACCCCCGTTTAAAATTCGTTTATTAAAGGGGAACCCCCTGTTTAAAAGTCGCGGTGAGATTGGTTAATGTGATGTTTATGCTTTATGCATAAAATCGAGTGTCAGGCATCTAATTTTCAAAAAATTCAAAAACTTTGGGCTCATTATACTACTGTAGCCAAAATCATCAGATTTGCATAATTTTGTTAATTATTATTATTATTATTATCTAACATTAAAATGAGTGATTGTGATGGTTCGTTGAGCAGCAAATCTGTGCCATTCGTAATTGAATCTGGTTCAGAATACCTACCACCTCAGAGACCTGGACGTAGAAGTTTAATTAGTGACAGTAGTGACGGTGATAATATTACTACAGATAAAAACAGTCAAAACAACAATGATAGAAGCTACTCTACTTCAGTGGCGCACATTAAAATGTATTATTTTTTTTTATTTTAAAAGTTTTACGTTAATTCAAAAAGTCTGTAGGTATGCCACTGAAGTAGACCAAAAAAAAGTTATAAAAAAAAACATTTAAAAATTAAAAAATTATTAGACATTAAAAAAGGTTCCAATTTAATTTGGCCCACAGTATGCCAAATTTGGACATCTAACCTTGGACGTACTTATGTTAACTTTGGACATAGGACATCCGACAAAGTGCTGCTTCGTACAAATATTTTTTGATTGATATTTTTTTTATCCATCAATTAATGGATATTCATATAATATACAAATACCTAAGTAAATGAGTATTTCTTTTTTATTTTATATCTTCAAGAAATTTCAAGATTTTCTTGATTTCTTGTCAAGAAATCTTGATCTTGAGAAGTCATTTCTTGTCTTGTCTTGAAAACCAAAAATCATTTCGTGTCTTAATCTTGTCTTGAAATCAAGACAAGATCAAGAAGTTGTCAAGAAAATGACGACCCCTACGAATAAGGCGTTTTATGATGTATAGTATTTTTAATACCCATTTAGAATAACACCATCCTTATTTATTATTAATAAATCAGTTGAAACAAAAAATTACCAACAAAAATGAACGTCGATTATTAATAATTTGTTAGATGTCACGTTTTTGAAGTTACGTTTCACGTTAATGTCATAACGCAAAATAAGATTTAAAATGCCATATTCTGATGAATCCAAAAAACTTATGCTTAATGTAGTAAACTATTTTCAAAACGATTTAGGATCTCGATTTAAGGCAATTCAAAAAGCATCCGAAGCACTAAAAGTCCCAGAATGCACATTATATAATCTAGAAAAACCAAACAGAGCTACAGATTTCGAATTTAGAAGAAATATGTCTGCAAGCGTTTCCCGGAGCAAAATCCGAATTACAAAGAATACCCTACATTGTTTGAGGGAAGTAATTTACAAAATGTATGCGCGAAAGGATAAAATCACAGTAGAAACTATTTTCCTGCAATTTATCGAAGAGTCTCCAGAAACTAAGATTTCCAAAAGTTCGTTATATTTGGGAATTAAAAAAATGGGTTTTCATTTCAAAAAACGGGATGGAAGAAAACAGTTATTGGAAATGCCTGGAATCAGATTAAAAAGAATATTATTTTTGAACAAATACCATGCTGCTAAAAGCGAAAAGCTCCTTACACCTGATTTTCTGTAGAATTTTTACTTAAACGAGCCCTTAAATAAATATTATTACTGCTTGCTCGACTTCTTGTTATATTATTTATTATACTTTTAGTGCTTCAGACGCTTTTGAATTGCCTTAAATCGAGATCCTAAATCGTTTTGAATATAGTTTACTACATTAAGCATAAGTATAAGTTAAGATATTCTTTGGTATAAGCCTTAAATCGAGATTTAAATAATATAGGTATTTTTTAAGAAAACTCGGTATCTAGTTAATAAAACAATATTTTTAAAAATTAGTGCGCTTCTTCTATATTTTTTTTTATTATGTCAACATCTTTAGAATTTCATAAAATTAATTTTTATTATTATAAACCGCCACTGATAATATGAAATTTCAAGTCACTCCGCCAATGCAATAAGAAATATGTCAAGCATTTGACATGACAAAGGTCATAACCTAATTTTTTCATGCGGGTGTAGATGGTGCAAGAAGCCGCATACGTTAAGTTACTAAAACGGCTGGTACCTCTAAATAGGTATTAAAAATACTATATATTGCGGGTTTTGCTTCAGCAAGATATATTTGCATCCAAACTTGAAATAACTAGGTATGCTGTTTTATTAAAATTAGGTAAGGATTTGATGAACTCTGCGTTGTATACCTGTTGCGTATACTCTGTGTTGTATACATCTTGTATACTCTGCGTTGTATACATCTGCGTTGTATACCTGTTCTTTACATATTGTGATATCTAGATCAACAGTTTAACCTTTTCCCTAAAACGGAATCACGGCAGTGACATCACTGGATGGAAAGCAGTAACATTTCTGGCCACATATCAAAAAACGTGTTACTCTCCTCTTCTAAATTGTTTTTATTTGCCTTTAAAACAATACGTCATTGATAATGGTATTCTTACCTAGTCTTTGAAATTATTTTGATAAAAAGTCCTTATTATATCCATTTTGTTCACCTCAAACACTGCAAATTTTGAAACCATAATCTATTCCACAATTTGGCGAGTTTTTTTTTCAGTAATGTATCTAAGATACTCTAATGTTTTAGATTTTTTTCGGCGATTGTAAGAATCTTATATGCTCGTTTGATTTGAACTATTACGTTTAAACCGCCCTAGAATCCAAGGCTGAAATATAGACTCAGTTCGTAAACAAAATGTAAATCTTTCTGCTTGGCCAGATTGGAAAATTCTGAGATTTCGCGTATGCTTTTTTTTTTTGCGCCTCGATTTCAGGGACAAATGTTTTAAAATGCCTGAATAAGAGCCCGTTCTAGAAAGTGTCCAGATTATTGAAGTTACATTGTACTTATGTTTATTTTCTTACCATCTCTCTGATTTGTTTTTAGGGCACATGGCGGACGGATACAGTATACGAATAGGCGTTTCTACGGGCGTCAAAGACCAAGGGTTCTCCTTTATGTTGACCACGCCGGATAGGGTGTACAATCTGTCAGCTCAAACGGAAATCGACAGGGATCATTGGATCGAAGTGTTAGAGAGGGTTATAGAGCGACCGTTAACGCCTCAAGACTTGTCAGGTATGTTTAATTGAGATTTTTTTTAATAATTTTTAATTTACTTTTTTTAAAAACTTGAATATTAGTTCAACATTTCAAAAGTGTTTTGTAAAATAATATTTTTATTCAAAGAAAATATGGTATATTATATTTTCATTTTTCCTTAAAATTTCATAAGACCCCTTTTTATTGAATAGTTACGATTAGGGATATAATATCGATAACTATCGATAGTTCTCGCTGTATCGAATAACAATAGCTGTGTTCAAAATTATCGATATCGATACTTATCGATATATCGGTATTTATCGATATATCGGTATTTATCGATAAACCGGTAACTATCGGTAATTCGGTAGTTATCGATAACTAAAATATATCGATAGGTGAAATGAATCACCCATCCCTAATAGCGAGTCGGTTTTGAACGGATATTTTGTTTCAGTGTCCGCGAGACTGATCAGGAAGAGGACGAACACAAACTCCATAAGTATTTTTTCGCCTAGGTAGTTCCTAAGGACATATCTGACTTTTTATGCCTATCACTAGCCTAGTCTCGTAATTTTACACACACTAAAAACGGATATCACGGTATAGAGACTATTAGCAAACGTATATTTAGTTTTCATAAAATAAACTGGCTTACCGCCGCGCCGGCGGCAGACAGTTGACAAGAGACATACCGCCGTTAGACGGTTTTACATATTTATTAACAGTGAATACCGCCGAACGGGTAAGATGTTTTGCACTGGCTAAATTACCTCTGGCGGTATTGTTAGTGTGTACAAAAAATATCTTCAGCCGGCGGTGTGACATTTCTATACATGTAAATAGCGGTGGAAAATTAAATTAACTTGACATTGACGGCGGTATGCTTAACCTGGTAGATAAATGCCGTACAATTTTAAAATAAATTGTTAAAAAAATCATTATATAAATTTGAATGATTGGAAAAGTAGTTGAAAAAATTGTACTTTGCTTTTGTGCTAACTGTGATTTCACGTCTTTACTTATATTCTTTCAAGTATTGACTATATAGGCTCAGAATTATTACTGAAATCTAAAATTGATAATCATTTTTCGGTTAGGTTAGCTTAAGGCGCACTCTCACGACTTGTCTACTTGGCAAGTACGCCAATATTTGCGTACTTGGCAAGTATCCCCCCCTGTCCCCACTTTGTAAACAACATCGGCAAGTGTGGCGCTCACGTACGCCAGCACAAACATTTTTTAAATCCTTGGCAAGTAAACAGTATAGTCACATCGATGGATACCGGTCGTCCCGAAATTGTCGTTGCTAGTGATTCTTTTTTCTTTTTAAGTTCTTTTACGGTACACTGTAATACGATTTCTATGTTCTTTATGTTTGGCCATCCATATGAAGGGTTCATTTTCGTATAAATCCATAAATTTCAAAACAACATCATTTGAAGACTACACGGGAAAAACCAGCTTTGTCCATTTTAATTGGAGCCGAGAAAAATGCAATTTAGTGCTTTTAAAGAAATATGTTATTTTCGATTGAATAGTTAGAAAAATATATATTACTACCAATTCTGAATTATTAATATTGTTAATTATCGCCATATTCTGATATACCGAAGTAAAAATGTCAAAATACAAAACAAAACAAGGGAAAAACCAGGGATGTCCAATTAAAGGTTGTATAAAACCTAAATCTAAACTATTATTTTTTTGTTGTAGGAAGAAAATTAATAATCAAGTAGATTTTTATTAGAATATATAAATTTACTACATGTAATACTAATTGCAAGATGTATGCTTGTCGCCCATGCGTAAGAACATCTCTGGTTTTTGCCATTTACGCGTGGACTACTCTGGTTTTTCCCTTGTACGGCAAAATAACCAAGCTGTAATATTTCTGGGACTAAGCGTATTATTGATTTCTTTTTTCTCGAATGACTTTAAGATTTGTCTATAAAGTTGTATCGTTATCTTAATTTCTATGAAAATGTGACATCTATTTTTTCCCGTGTAGTCTTCATTTGTCCGCTCCATTTATTTATGTAGGAACAATTATAGTATGTCGCCAATATTGAAGTTGTTAATATAAATTTGATACTATATAATCTATTATTGTTCTAACGTTTAAAATTATCCGCAATTAACTCGAAAAACACTACAATCCGGTAATAAACCGGACATACGCTATAACAGTGCAATTATTTGCGCAGTCTTTTTTTTTGCGCCTCGGCAAATATAGCCAAGGCTGGCCAAGTACACTTGTAAAACACTTGGCAAGTGTACTATTAATTATGATCGCTTGACTCGGGCTATGATTACCGACAGAGAGTGGGGACGCGACGAGTGACCAAGGAAACCGTTCTCACGACATAGCGAGTATATTCCAGTAACAAATGTTTGTCAAGTACACGATTCGTGAAAATGCGCCTTTAAATTTTGCTACTAATGTTATTGATGATTCAATACGATTTTATAAATTGTTATTATAGTTTAATTTTTATCTGGTAAGCTTTAAAAGTTTAAAATTTACTTTTTATTTATTGAATAAATTGACGGAAAATTATTAAATTGAATAGTTCATAATATGTAATAGTCTCTATACTTTGGTATCTTTGTATTCACATTGCAAATACTCACATCTCTAGATCTGGTACATATTTTTCCTTAAGGTTCAAACTGATTTTTTTTGTTGAAGATTCTTGGTTATGAAAGCATTAAATTCTATTTGTTTTACTTCTTTTATTGACAGTATCACTTTGATTACACCAACAAGAGTTGGGTTACAGAAGACACGCAGAAAATGAATTATACTTATAGGGTGTGTCATTTAAAAAATAACAGTGTGTACACTATGTGTGCATACTTGAAGTGAAACTTCTTACTAACAGCTATTAAATTGAAGGATTTGAAGGACATCAAAAAGTGACATATTATAATGCTGTTTTAATATAAATATTACTTTCAGTTTATTTCTGTAATCTATACAGGGTGGTCGAGATTGGTCTGTTTTAACAGAGAAACCCTATTTCCTGACTAGATAGAGCAAAACCGACATAGATGTCATGGGCTCGATTTCTGAGACATGTTTAGTGGCGTAAACCGCCTGTTGATATTTTCACTGCCAACTGAGATACTGGGTCTTTTTGAATTTTCTACCATTTGGAAAATTGCCCATAACTTTTGTATTTCGCGAAATAATAAAATTCTGTAAAAACGTTCTTAAGGCACTTTTTAAGTACAGTCCAGTGGCGTAGTCAGTTTTTTTCTATGCTTGCTCTTTGTGTCAGAAATAATGAAAAATATAATTTTTTAAATGGAAATCATAGTTGGCTATGAACTTAAAAAAATGCTGGCATTTAATCCTTTCCAACGATATAAAGTTATGTGTATCTATTTCTAACAATGAGAGAAATATTAGTTTTTTTTCTTTATATCGAAGCGGGCCTTGATTTTGTGTTGGCCTATTTGCCTAATTATTTTTTATCACAATTTAATATTCTATATTATTATTTATCTGCATAATTAAAGACTTTTGAGAAGGTAAATTAGCTTTCTATATTAGTATTAGTAATTACAATTGAAATCTATACAATAAACAAAGAACAAAACTAAAAAGAATTTTTTGAGTGACGAATATAGTTTTCTAAAAAAAGTCATTGAAATCGTCAAGAGTTACAACGATTTATTAGCATAGCTGCAATTCTTCTCTCGTCCCAATGGTTCTTCCCTTATACAGGGTGGTCCGAACTGTATTCCGGAAACTTCGGCAGCATATTCTGCAGATAAAAATAAGTAAAAATGTTCGTATAAATGTATGTCCTAAAATGCTTAGTTTCGGAGATACAGAGTGTAGAAGTTGCATTTTTATTTTGATTTTTTCCAAATATTTTCTGAACATCAATATTTTGATGAAAATTGGCGTCTGGGAGTTTTTTGGCATGAGAAATTCGATTTTGATGTCAATATGACTCCTACTTGTGCAGGGCGCCACTTACATATTTTTTAACTGTTTTGAAGAGTAATAACTTTTTGTCGGTACCTGTATAAAACTACTGAGTGAAAAAATATACATCTCCATAACTTTTTACGTAAAAAATGTCTTGTGGTAAAAATCGCTACGAGCAACCGTTCTCAAGATATTTAGAATGGAAATAGTCAATACATGTCATTATGGACAAAAAACAAACACGTTGAGTAGTTAGTTTGTAGTTTGACTAAAAAAAAATAGTATAGTTTGACTAAAAAAAAATTGGCGCCGGGAGGCACGTATAGCCGCCCATACTAAAATATGTTAATATCCTAATCTTAATCCCTTCCTAATCTTAATTTGAAAACCGCGTTTCGCTAGCTACTGTAATTTTGGAGTTACGATTTTTTTAAATTTTTAACCCCCTCCCATACCCCCTTACCAACCCCCCACTCCTACCAAAAACTAATGACCAGATTCTCGGGTGCCACAGTATTTTTGTGCCAAATTTGGTTAAAATCGGTTCAGCGATTTTTCAGTTATCGTGTTACAGACGGACAGACAGACACCATTAAAATATTTTGTATTTAGGTCATTTATGACCCAAATAACTCATTTTGAGTGAAATTAAAAAAACTTTTTTTTGCCGATCCTAATAGCTTACCATACCTATTGGTATGGTCGGCTAATAAATTTGAGAAATTTGTATTTTTTAAATTAATCATAAATTTTTCTGCGACAAAACGAAGTTGTTCGAAACAGTTCAACAGAAACTGTCTTATCACAGTTTCTGTTGAACTTTTGACACAAAAACATTTCAAATTTATGATTTTCCTCTAAGAACTATACAGGGTGTTACAAATTCGAGGTACGAGCATTGGTATCTCGGTAACGGTAATAGATACGAACATGGTTAAATTGGGGCAAAGTTGTGTTTTGGGATGTTCACCAAGATGCCATCTAAAAAGTTTTAAAAATTTCAAGGATTGCTGAATTTTTTGGAAAAAACTGATTTTTATGAAAATCAATTTTATTTTTTCCTGCCGTTACTTTTTCGAAAATCAAAAAACTAATTGCACATTATCATAGCCACTTTATTAGGGCTATCTGATAGAATTTTTAGATTTTCAAATTAGCTGATAATTTGTGAGATACAGAGGCCAACTTATTTTTTTTAAATACGGACCTGCATTTTTTATATCAGGTTTTGAAAGAACTCGGTCTCTTGAATACAATGATATGCCACACTTAATACTTTTGTTTTGTTTTGGATACCTTAACAGCAACAAAACTATTTAATTATTATGTTAAATAATTTAAAGTCCGACACTGGTTTTTTAAATTATTTAATCTGATTATATTCATTGCAACAATATTGATCAGCGCTAATTAACATTGGATAAGGAAAATCGAGACAATTGGAAGATTGAAATAAATATTATCCACGTCACAAATTTAAAGATATTATTTTTAACTTTTTTGCTTTTTTAACTTACCACCCTCCCTATTGCACAAATTTATTTTTCGCTCAATTTTATTTATAGCTCTTTAAACTTTCTTCTTATACTTTCGAATGCATTTTGTACTCTTTATTGTAAATGTTGAGATGAATTGATTTCACTTTTACAAATGACGTCAAATAATGTAGCCCCTTGGCGATAGGTCCAGGAACATCGCTGGACATTATACTGCTCTACCATTTCCAATCCATCTTCCGGGAAAATTATTTGATTGTTTATATTATAATATTATATGATATTTATATTAATTATTTTATATCATTTTATTGCATTTGATTTTCCGTATTCAATGTTTTACCCCACGTCATTGTTAAGTTTGAAAGCTTATATCAATATTGTAACTATGAATAGAT